AGTAGACAAGCAGTGAAGTAAAACAGATTTTACTTGGAGGGTTTTTTGAAAGTGTGGAGGGGAAAGGAGAGAGAGAGAGAGAGAGAGAGAGAGAGAGAGAGAGAGAGAGAGAGAGAGAGAGAGAGCCCTATACATATCCCAGATAGGAAAGCATGAAAGTATATATCTCAAGAGGAGAGATGCAGGTGACATCTGTGCTTGGGCAGCACATGTGCTTGGTCACATGGGTGCAAGCAGCACATGTCTCAGGCAGCATATGTGTGCCCTTCCTATGTTCAAGGTGGCTTTTATAGGATTCTTCCAACCTGCCCCCAGTGGGGCCTCCACCCAGATAAGAGTCCATTGCTATGGTTGCTGCCAAGCGGGTAGAATTGGGTGCAGCCCTTGAAACTCCTTTTCTTGACCTGTTGCTCTTGCTGGATCTTCTCTGTGCTGAATCACTAAAATTAATCGGATTAAGGGAGAGGCCCCAGGGTTTGAGGAACTTCATGGGGAGGGGTCCAATCTCCTCAAGGTCCCTGCTGAAGGTCTTATCAGGTCTCTGTTTTCTGTATCCACAGTCTGAGAATTTTCCTCCCAGAAGTCTTGTTGACCTAAGTTTCATTGCTGAGGGCCTTTTCCTGTCTACCTGCCTACATCAAAACCAGGGTTAACTGCATGCAAGGCAAGAGCCTTTCTCCCTTGTGCTATCTCTGTAGCCCGGATAGACGCCATCTATCTTATAAATGTTATTTTTAATATTTAGAGGGAATGATGATGATTTCAGGAGTCAGAGAACTACTAGCTATCTCTGCTAGGTTGTATGTTCTTTGATCGATATTTGAATTGCTTGGCTTTGAATTAAAGTCCTGGAATGGATGAAGGAATGGATGAGGGAATGCTACCCAGGACTGAAATGATCTACAGGGTATAAGCTGTGCATATACAGTAGTGTTTTGTTGTTTTACTAACTGTACCTTAAACATGGGTAATCCTTTAAGCTGCTATTTGGCTGCTATTACTTAATTCCTTTCTGAAAGCCACTCTGGAAATTGTCTTTTTTCAATTTATGAGTCAGTAGCACATTTGCTCATGACGTTAGCATTTACAAAATTGTTCTCATTTGTTTTCTCATTGCAATAAACATCCCCCCTTCTAAACTAGAACACACTGCAGATGGAGGGTAAATTTGCTTGTGTCACACAGAGACATGACAGGGTGGACTTGAAGCCAGATTCCTTGCACCCACTTGGTATTTTTTTCTGCTTCACCCGCACAATGCAATCTTTGTCCTGTGTCTTTTGGGGCCTCTTGTGTGTATTCCAGAAAACAGGGTGAGATCACTCTAGCATCTTCCATAAACACTAGATTAATTTCATAAAGTACATTAGCAGACTGGAGAGATAGGCAAGGCCGCCCTTGAGTGCTGCCAGGAATAAGCCCTAAGCTCCTCCAGGAGTGACCCCAAAAATCAAAACATACTTTAAAAAACCAAATTAGTTTTGTGTGTGTTGTGGTGCTAGGTAGCCTTCATAAATGCTGTTTTAAAAGACAGAACTAAGTCATCAAAAGATAATACAAGGGTTAAGGCATTTGAATTGTGTGCAAGTTGCCCCTTGGATCCCCTGTATCACTGTTGGGAATGACCCCCAAGCACAAAGCCAGGGGTAGCTCCTGAGTACTGCCAGTATCGAACCCTACGTTCCCCCCCCCCCCCCCCCACACACACACACACACAAGAATTCTGTAAGACTTTGGCCCATCTAACTATGACCCTCTGGTGTCCTTTTTCTACATCCTAGCACACGGCCAGGTCTGGAGCATGCCTGGCCCTCCCCTCCCCCAGCACTCACACCAGATAATGCTCTTCCTATGGCCAGATGCTTGGCAGCCAGGTCTGAAATATTTTCTGACCTTCTTTTTGGTTTTGTACTTTTATTTTTAATTGTTCGTTTTGTTGTTAGCCTGCACTCCTTTAAATAGAGAACCCTACTTGGCATCCCCCGACTTACTCCACTGCTATCATATTGCCATATTTTGTGTTTTCTAGTTTGCGTAACCTCTAAATTATTATGGGGTGGGGGGAGGAGATCTACATGATTGGGCCACACTGGTGGTTCTCAGGGCTTACTCCTGGCTCTGTGCTCAGGGATCACTCCTGATAATACCCAGGCCCAGGGATCAAACTGGAGTCAACTGCATGTAAGGCAAGTGCCGCAACCCCTGGCCTATCTCTCCAGCTGTACCTCTGAGCTTTAGGAGGCAACAGGCTGCCTGTTTGGCTTCACACCCCTCACTCCCCTGCCACCCCTCACAGCCTTCAGTGAAGCCATGGCTCAGGTTTGGGTCCGAAATGGGGAGCCTGCCCAGATCTGGTCTCTAGAGGCCCATGGAGGAGGAATGTGCAGAACTGTCTTCACTGAGCAGACTGAACAAAGCCCTTGGCCTCAGCCCTGAGGTGAGCCCCTACACCTCTTACTCCCTGATTATCCTGGGCAACAGCAGAGCCAGCCAGGTTTGTCCACCTTCAGCCTGCCTGGACTGAGGATCTGGGAATAAACAGCCACCCTAAGCACCCTCCATGCCCTCTTGACCCCACCCCCAACTTATTACCACAGTCCTGAGTTTATTACCAGGCAGACCTGTGTTTTTTGCCAACCACTATATAACTTTCTTTTAAACTAGACTCACAAATTGGCCATCATTCCTGCCCCTAGCACTCACCTTGCCTCCCATAGGAAATGTTCCCTCACCCTGCTGGGGGACTGGGCCTAACCTGATCCCCACCCCACAAAGGCTTCTTTTCCCCTACACACCCACCCATACCGCCCAAAGAATCATGGACTGGCAGAAGCTTTGGTACCTGCTCTGAACTTTTTGAATATTTTCTAGGTGTCAGACAAAGGATTCCCAGGTTCTGCCTGGCTTCAGTTTCCTGGGGGTCGCTGCGCTTCTGCCTGGCTACAGTTTCCACTGGGGATGGGTATAATGGCATCAGCACTGGAGTAAAGGGCAGTTCGGATGACTTTCACTCCCAGTTTATCCACTGTAGACATGCCAGGGTGGGGGCTGTAGCCCCTTGGAGGGAGCTCATAGAAGTTAATTAAGTGGGAGTCAGTGGCCAAGGATCATTTCTTTACCCATATTTATCCAAGAATATTTGTGGTGGTATTTTTTTGTTTCCTTTTTTTATTTCTTTTGGTTTGGGGATTACACCCAGCATTGCTCATAACTTACACCTGGTTCTGTGCTCAGGAATCAAACACAGGTCAGCTGTATGCAAGGCAGGAACCCTACCAGCTGTACTCTGGTCCTGTTTTTTTTATTTGATTTTTTTAAATGGAAATTTATGAGTATAGGTGTATTTGGAAGTGGGATGAACAAAATTAGACTAGTTGAGGTCATAAATCATACTGGAAACTTCTTGTAGTGGATCAGGACAGCCCCCACTGAACCCCACCTTCAGGATCAAAGCAGCACTTCGTAGGTGGACCCGTGTTGGGACTCAGGACTCTGGCATATGCAGAGTCAGTGCTTCAAGAAAGGAAGCAGAAATACATATATATTTAGTATGTGCAGTTGAGGAGATAGGAGACTGGGTAGATGGGTGGAGCTTTCACATACGTACTTCCAAACTGATGAGTAACTGGAAGCTTCAGGTGAGTTCCTGGGAACTCTTCTTCCTGAAGCAGATTACTTTTCCCGGAGGGATGGGTGGGCATTTCTTTTGGTTTGTTCTTTTGTGCTATACCCAGTGACGCTCAGGGGTTACTCAAGAATCACTCCAGGCAGTGCTTTGGGAACCATATGTGTTAACCCCCTACCTCAAGTGACCTTAGAGCACTTCTTTCAACAGACCTGCTGTTATTCCTTACCACGCACATCCTTGATTTCCCTTTTATCCCATCTTGTGTTTAGCTTGTTTGGGGCAGGGGCATAGGTGAGTGACCAGGAGCAGGGGATGCCTGAAGGAATAAGGAAATTAGAGATACAGGAAACTGGTGTTTTGTTTTGTTTTTGCTTTTTGGGGTCACACCCGGCCATACACAGGGGTTACTCCTGGCTCTGCACTCAGGAGTTACTCCTGGCGGTGCTCAGGGGACCATTTGGGATGCTGGGAATCGAACCCGGGTCAGCCGCGTGCAAGGCAAATGCCCTACCTGCTGTGCTATCTCTCCAGCCCCAGAAACTGGTGCTTCTTGAGAGTTGACTGGACACTGTTGTACACATGTGCAGGCACACACACGTGACCTGCTGATTCCATCTGCCCCAGCAGCAGATGCTAAGTGAGAACACACCTCAGTGCACCCAGGGCAGCCTTTATCAGCCTGAGGCCATGTGTGTGCCCAGGCAGGCAAAAGGCAGCTCCATTCTACTACATTCCCTTTGGCTGTCTGCAAGGCTCATAGCCAAAAATGTATTTGTGAGCCTTACCAGAAAACAGCTTTCTGCTCAGTAAGAAATATGCAACTTGTATGAGTTTTGTTTTCCTTTTTTTTTCTTTCTTTTGTTTTGGGCTGCTCCTGGCTTGGTGCTTAGGGGTCACTCCTGGCAGTGCTCAGATCATGTGGTGTCCGAGATTAAACCCAGACTTACTGCATGCAAAACATGTGGTTAACCCATAGAGCTATCACTCCAGCACTGCTTTTATCTTCAAAAATATGTATGTATTTTGCCCCAGTATATTCTCAGATTGCAAATGGAAATGGGTAATATTTGGGTTCCCCAAAACAGGCTTCTGAAGGGGAACTTGAAGGTCCTCGCAGGCCAGTGCCTCCTGAACCACTCGGATGCTGAGGTCTAAGCTGAGGTATTCTTCCCAGTGGTCACTGTGGCCCCTGGTCTTGGGCAGTTCAGGTGGTTTCGGTTGTGGAGCCAGAGCCGAGTGTCCAGGAATTGCGCACAGAGCTGAAATTCGTGCAGGACAGAGCAGGGGTTTGCATCAGACTAGGTGGAAGGGTTGGCACAATCCGTCAGTTTTCCCAACCTGTCTCTGACTAACTGGGTTTTGGTTCCTCCAGGAAGTGTTGGTTGAAGGTGCGGGCCATGGACTTCGTCTCGTCCACAGCCATCCTACCTCTGCTGGTGAGCTGTGTGGGAGTCTATAGCGTCTTCAAGCTGCTGCAGCACTTGTTCAACAAGACTTACGTCCAGAACTCAGTGGTGGTCATCACAGGTGCCACCTCAGGTCTAGGGCGAGGTGAGTGCTGGGGCAATATGTCCGGGAGTAGCTTAGCTGCACCGGGACCACTGGTGCGTGTGCAGATATGGCAGCAGGCTGGCTGGCTCTGGGGCGTGAGTTTGACCCTGTGCTGTCCCTGCTCACTGGAAAGAGCTGCACTCCAGAGCCAGGCTCTGACTGGTCCCTGTGTCGAGCCTCAGCCCTGGGAGCCCGTGAGACTGCAGCCGGCTGGCACAGCCTCTTGCTGCACTAGGGATGTGCATCAGGGATGTGAATGCTCCTAATTTTCAAATGCTCATTAAAAGCATATTTCTCTGTGAGGGCCGTTCAAAAGATATCTTCTTTGGGGGGGAGGGGGACTAAACCAGCATCCCAGGTGTGTGGCCTTGAAGTCACAGTCTCCGTAGCTTCCCCTCAGTAGGCTCGTGGCAATGGAGCACAGAATCAGCAGGGTCTTGGCTATTTCTTGACCAGGTTCCCTGTGTAGTTCCATCAGGATTCCATGAGCAGGTTGTGTGTCCAGGGCCAGCACTTGTGAGTGACCTGGAGGCCTGGACCTACTCACAAACCTTTATCCCTTACGGTCATGGACGTTTGCTAAGGGTCTGCAGAGGCCACACATCCATGTCACAGGGTGACTCCTGCCCCATTCTCAGCATAAACCCAGACTCCATAGCACAAGACACTGATACTGGACCCAAGGCCCTGAGAGCCAGCAGAGCAGCCTGAACTGCTCAGGTGCACTGTGGCTGCCCTGAGGGTGGGAGGGAGACAACGCCCTTATGGAAGGGGGCACCCATCTCCGTGTGTAGTCAGGGTCCTGGCACCACTGCCCAAGGCCTGGGAAGAGGAGTCCTGTTGTCTGTGTGAACTTGGGCTCTTCTCCCTCATTCCCCACAGCTGAGACTGAGAGAAGGCGCTAAGCCAGAAAAGTGCCAAGTCAGAATTCAAGTCCATGATTCTGACTCCAGACCTTGGTTTGTCATGTGTGAAGGGTAGGTGTCCGGGAAAGATGGGCTCAGGCCAGCACGGAGGGCAGTGCCAACAGGCCTAGAGCTGGGAGCAGCACATTGGGAGGTGCTGGTCAGTGCATGAGTGTCAGGAACACAGAGGAGCAGGCAGGGCCCTGTATACAGGATAAGTGCTTGTTGTTGACCAGATGGAGGCTTTCGGTTTTATGAATTTATTTGTTTCGGGGGTGCCCCCTGTGTTTGACATTAGATATCCAGGGCTGCTAGGGACAGCTGCCTCCAGGCACCTTGGCACCGTTGCTCCTGACCTTACTCAGCTGCTATATATAGGGGCTCAGCAGCCATGCCTCTTGAGCTCGGAGAGAAGCATGTTTCTGGAGGACCTTGACGAGTATTCGAGAGTTGGCAGAGATGGCAAAGTGAGTTGCAGGTGTTCTGGTATGAGGATATTTGAGAAGGACCCTGACCTCTCCATCTTATCACATTTCCGCCTCTGGACTCCAGGACTGAAAGGGAATCGAAAATGTCATTGGAAGGAAAACAGAACCTCTGTCATATGTGTGTTTGGTATGTTATGCCAGCCGTCTCCTGAATTCCAGGTCACTCTGCTGCTCTTATATCCTGGCCTCTGAAGAACAGGAGTACATTTCTTTCTTCCCCCTGACTGAAATCGGACCTGATTCCTGACAGTCACAAGCAGCCCAGGACACCAAGGACGTGCTGCTCTGTGAGGAGAACGTGCCCAGGTTGTCCTCAGGGGCCCTCCCGGCCACGTCAGCCACCCTGAAGATTTGGGTTATATGATGAGTCTAGACAGCTTTCCATTTTGCCCTGTGTTGTAGTGATGCTATGTGAGCTTGTCCTTGTAAAACAGTGAGGCCCCTGACTAATGGAACAAAGTGTTCTAGATGCCCTCTTTAGCCAGAGTCACCTGGGAGGTCATGAACTGCAATCTTGATGGGTAAGCCAGGAGTCTCAGCCAGCACAGGTGGCATACCCAGTCAGTCGCCCTAGATAGATGCGACCTCAGGACTCTTTTCCTCTTTTTCACTTGGCCTTCCTAACTCCCTGTGTTAACTTTTTCAAGAAATGAAAATGGAATCTTTCCAATCTCTGGCTTTCATTTCTGGCACTCCTTACACAAAGTTTCCTTTCCTCCCTTTGGGGCTTGGCTTGGAAACGAACAGTGTAGGTGACATTTTCCAGAAGCCTTGTGTATGCTCCTTTGCTTCCCCCACTTTGGATCTGTGTGTCTGTGCCCTTTTGTGCTACCTCACTCAATGTCCATTGCTTTGGTCAGGACAGAATAAAACAGGGTGAGGAAGAAGCCAGGGCCAGAGAGATTCCTAGTCTATGGGAACAATGTCGTAAACCAGATGAGTAGTTCTAGCCTGAAGAATGCTGGTGTCTGGCTTTTGAGCGCAGCGAAAGCTTCCCAGGAGCTGGTTCCAAGGGCCTGCTCCTAGGAAGCTTTGCTGCTCTGGTGAAAAGCTCTGCAGGACTCAGGTGGGGGCTCTCACCCCACAGACCACCCACTGCTCAGTGGAGGCTGCACTTTGTGCTGGATTTGTGCCCTTCATGAATGAGAAAGACAGTGAGAAAGCTAGTAAGAAAGATAACAGCATCTAAAACTGTACCGAGTATAATTAGCTAGCACCTCCTTCCAGAAAACTCTGCTGTCTGTGGACTTACAGGGTGATGCTGGCCTGGGAGTGGTAAATACAACCCTTGAGAGCAGCTGGGGGAGGTGGAGGAGGGAAGTTTCGCTGTGGTGTGAAAGAGAGGGTTTTGCCCCCAGGACAGTCCAGCCAGAAAACCCTTTCTCTTCCCTTTCCTGAGGGATTCTGGAATCCCTTCTTACTTCCTGTTGTATTTTTATTTATTTAATCTGGGACCACATCCAGCAGGACTTGGAGGACTGTGTGGTATCTGGTAGCCTGGGCCTCCACATGCAAAGCAAGTGGCCCTTGGAACCATCTCCCCCATCCTTCCCTCCCATTTTATTTTTATTTACTTATTTATTTATTTATTTTTGCTTTTTGGGTCACACCCAGCGATGCTCAGGGGTTACTCCTGGCTCACGCACTCAGGAATTACTCCTGGCGGTGCTCAGGGGACCATATGGGATGCTGGGAATCGAACCTGGGTCGGCCATGTTGGCTGCGTGCAAGGCAAACGCCCTACCCGCTGTGCTATCACTCCAGCCCCGCCCTCCCTTTTTAAATCCTTCCAGTTTTAGAGAACTGTAAGCCTCCCGGGGAAGGGCTGCAGATGCTGACTTCCGTGCCTGAATCCTACAACTCCCTTTCCCTCCTGGAGAGGAAGTGACAGTTGGGTTACTTGGGGTCCGAGGGCAGGCCTCTCCATTCTGTAAACCTGATCTTAAAGGCCCAGCAGGCAAGGCGCCACTTGACTGCCAAGCCTCTGGGATCTACTCTGGGGTCCAGTGGCTGCCCAGTCAGCCAAGGACTGAGGAGTCTGTACAGACCAGCCTGCAGGCATCTGGGTGACTAAATGTGGGTGAGGACAGGGCCTCCCAAACACTTTCTCGTTTTCACCAATTTTTAGGATTTCTCACAAAAGAAGTTTTGAAATGAATAAAGCATTTCAGGGGCTGGAGAAATATGATATAGTGTCTTGCTTGTAAAGGACCCAAGTCTGATCCCCACCAGGAGTGTCAGAAGTAAGGCCTTAGCACTGCTAGGTGTAGCTCCAGAACCAAAAAACAAACTGTCCTGTTGTTCATCGGTTTGCAAATCGTTATTGTTACTGTTTTTGGCATATTGAATACCTCACAGGTAGCTTGCCAGGCTCTGCCATGTGGGCGGGATACTTGGTAGCTTGCCAGGCTCTCCAAGAGGGAGAAACTACAGGTATCTACATATAAGCACACAAGGCTCAACCTTTAACAGCATGTTCATGATCTCTGATGGAAGGGCTTCATGGTCCCTGGATGAAATACAACAATCTTCACTCTTTCCTCTAAGGAAACTTTTTTGGAGCATTTTCAGTGGTTTTTCATGACAAACAATACAAAATAAATTACTTTGGTTCTGATTTGGGGCAGGGATTGGGATTTAGGATGGAAACATCCGAAATAAAGTAGTGGGAAGGTGTAATGGTTGCGGGATTGGTGTTCGAATATTAAATATAATCAAATATTGTGAACTACTTTATGAAATAGAAAAAAAATGATGCGGCTATCACTTCTCCAGAGTATGATGCTGAGAACTGTCAAATTCCTCTGCCTTCTCCTCTCCCTGGGTTCTGGGGCTCTCCCCTCCTCACTCCGCCCGTGGGCTAGTCCTGGCATGCTTCTCCATCCCCATCCCTTCATCCAGCAGTTTCTTCCTGGGATTTAGACATCAAAGCTTGGAGGCTCTGCTCCTGTCTTGTATTGATACAAGCCCAGGGCTGCCCACAGCCCCATTTCCATCTTGTGGTAAATCAGACTAGAAGAAAGCAGCAGAGAAAGGTTGGCCAGCACTGAGAAGGGCTGGTGTCAGCGGCCAGCTCCCCACACACCCTCATCCCGTCCCTCACTTGTCCCAATCATTTGGCTCTTCTTCTCCATGCTTGAGCTCTCGCCGACCCCTTCTGATACATCCTTGTTTTTTGTTTTGGTTTGGTTATGCTTTGCTTTCGTATGATTTGAGTCTCTTTGTCTGCCACCAAAAGAATCTTGACTAGTGGGGCTGGAGCAATAGTACAGCCTTGCACACGGCCAACCGGGTTCGAGTCCCAGTATCCCATATACCCCAAGCACCACCAGGAGTAATTACTGAGTGCAGAGCCTGGAGGAACCCCTGTGCATTGTCGGGTGTGATCCAAAAAGAAAAGAAAAAAAAAAAGAATCTTGACTAGCGATTAAGGCACTGCCTTGCACATGGTTGACCCAGCTTTTATCCCTGACACCCCATGTGGTTCCCTGAACCAGCCACGAGTGGTCTCTGAGCGCAGTCAGGAATGATCCCTGAGCATATCCAGGTGTGGCCTCAAAACAAACAAAACAATAGTAACAACAACTACATCAGCCAGGGGCCAGAGAGATATAGTACAAGCTGGTAAGGTGCCTGCCTTCCAGATGGCCAGCCCACATTATATCCCCAGCATTACATATGATCTCCAGTCCATCAGGAGTGGATCTGAGAACTGAGCCATGACTAAGCCCGGAGCTTACCACCAAGTGTGGCTCAAAAACCAAAAGAAGAGGAGGGGGAGAAGGAGGGAAGGAAGAAGGAGGAAGAGGGGGAGGGGAGGGGGGAGGAAAGAAACCAGGAGAAGGAGGAAACCCTGAGCACCACCAAGTGTGTCCCCCCAAACTAAAGAGGGGTGGGGCGTGGGGAGGAGGGGGAGGAGGTGGAAGCTGTTCCATCTAGTTCCACAGGGTGCCTCACAGCACACCCTCTCCCAAAAAGCACAAAGCCAGGAGTGACCCCTGAGCACCACTGGGTGTAGCCCAGTAATAACAACAAATTCATAATTTAAAAATAGGATGAAGCTGCCTTCACTATCCTTGGCTGTCTCGGGTACTCAGCACATTTTAGTTCTTTAAGCTACAGCCGTGTCATTTTTTGGCCCTGCAAAGCTGCTTCTACTTTCTTACTCTCCACTTTCAGTCCCAGCTATGTCTCGCCATGGTCTCTCAGAAGCTTTAGTCAGACCCCTCTACCTCTGGCACTCACTGGGGAAACAGCCCCTCAAACATTGGCAAGGGAGCAGCCCTCCTGAGCCTGTCACAGAGCCCTGTATTCATGTGTTTCTGCAGAATTATGCAAGTACCCCCAGTAGACACGTACCTGCTGCACTGAAGTAACAGTCTGGCTCACACTAGAACACAGGCTGCCATAGGCCTTGGCTCACCTTGGGTGACAATGGCTGTCACTAGCAAATCGCTTATCCTCACTGAGCTTCTTCAGTTGTGAAGATGGGGATACAGCACAAAGGGTGGTTTGAGAGCCAAAGATCATTAAGAAAATTCTGAGCAAAAGACCCAGTGGATTTGCCCACCTGTCCCTGCTTTCCTCTTGCCATGCAGGTGTCTCCTACATCACTCACTGGAAGGTCTCTGAAAGCACCAACAGCTTTTTGTTGGTGGGGCCCTAATTCCTAGCTCTGAGCCACATCCATGCCAGGAGCTGATGCATCCAATGTTGAGTCTAGTTCAGGGTGCTTCCTTCTGGTAATTTCTTTTGGGGGATGTTAAGACACAAGCTGTGGGAGATGATTGGAAAGAAGTTTATTTCACTCTCAACCTACCAAAAAAAAAAAAAAACAATAAAATGGAGCTAATGATTCCATGTTGAGTTCTTAAACACATACATGTTCTGAAACATTGGATATGTTCGAACTGAGCTGCAGTGGAGAAGAAAAGCATTGAATTTCCAGGGGCTAGAGCGATAGCACACTGGGAAGGGTGTTTGCCTTGCACGCGGCCAACCCAGGTTCGATTCCCAGCATCCCATGTGGTCCCCTGAGCACAGCCAGGAGTAATTCCTGGGTGCAGAGCCAGGAGTAACCCCTGTGCATAGCTGGGTGTTACCCAAAATGCAAAAAAAAAAAAATTGAATTTCCTCATTTGCTAAGGTTCTTTCTTTTCCCTTAGAATGTGCCAGAGTCTTCTATGCAGCAGGAGCAAAGCTGGTGCTCTGTGGACGGAACAAGGAGGCCCTAGAAGAGCTCACAGAAGAACTCATGGCTTCTCCCACTACCCAAGTGAGCCCGGGGTGTTCTCGGTGGGGAATGCCCATCTCTGCAGGCAGGAGGAGTGGCCACTCTGGGGCTGTGGAAATGGTCACTCTGCTGTCAATGTACACCTCAATGGCATTAAGTGAGCTCAGTGCGCCTGTCAGCAACTTCTATACACAAAACCTTTTACCATTCCCAACAAAAATTCTGTGCTTGACAGAATTTCTTTCACGTTCCTTCAGTATGCTACTCGGAACACGGGTGTACAATATCTGTTTGAGTTCTTAGTTTCAGGTATTTTCGAAGTGGAATCTCAGTTACATAGTATATTTTCTTTTGAAGAAATGCCAAATTGCTGATCTTCTTAAAAGAACCAACTTCCAGCATTGTATTTTTCTATCCTATTTTATTGTCCTAAATCTTTTTTTTATTTCCTTCCGTTGCTACCTTTGGGTTCAGTTTGCTAATTTTCAGTTCCCTAAATTTGTAAAGTTTTGTTACTGATTTAAGATCTTTCTTCTTTTTTAATACAGGTCTTTTCAACTGTTAATTTCTCTTAGTACTGCTTTTACCTGGTTTTCTAGGTTTAGATATGTTGGTGTGTGTGTGTGTGTGTGTGTGTGTGTGTGCATGTGCGTGTGTGTGTGTGTCTATATTTTCTAATATCTTGGGATTTTTAAGTTAGTGTTTAAAATATGTCACTTAGGTGCTGGAGCAATAGCACAGCGGGTAGGGCGTTTGCCTTGCACGCGGCCGACCCGGGTTCGATTCCCAGCATCCCATATGGTCCCCTGAGCACCACCAGGGGTAACTTCTGAGTGCAGAGCCAGGAGTAACCCCTGTGCATCGCCAGGTGTGACCCAGAAAGCCAAAATAAATAAATTAAATTAAATTAAATGTCACTTAATTTCCACTTATTTTCTAGTTCACCTTCAGTTTTATTGAATTCTAGCCTCATCACATTGTGCTAAGAAAAGATATTTTATACGATAAGGTCTGTCTTCTAAAATCTGTTGTTCATGTTAAGCGAAATGAGTCAGAAAGAGAGGGACAGACATAGAAAGATTGCATTCATCTGGGGAACATAAAGTAACAAAATAGGAGACTAACACCCAAGAGTGGCTGAGATTAGTACCAGGAGGTTTGTTCCATGGCTTGGAGGCCAGTCACACATGCTAGGGGAAAAGGGAGCTCAGATAGAGAAGGGAGCACAAAATATAGGGTGTTGGGAGGATCCCAGGATGGGAGAAGCATGCTGAAAGTAGACTATAGACCAAACATGATTGCCACTCAATGCCTCTTTTGCAAAACAACAACACCCAAAAAGAGAGAGAGAACAAAAGGGAATGCCCTGCCACAGAGGCAGGGTGGGATGAGGGGATGGGGGGTGGGGAGGGATACTGGGACCCGTGGTGGTTGAAAATGGGCACTGGTGGAGGGATGAGTATTCAATCATTGTATAATTGAAATCCAAGGACAAAAATTTGTAAGTCTACAACTGTACCTCATGGTGTTTCCCTAATAAAAATTTAAAAATAATAAAATCTGTTGTTCAAGTAGGGATGATGTTCAAGTGGCAGCGCATGTGTTTTGATGCCCCTCCTAGCACACCTTGTGTGACCCCCATGATAATAAAAAATAAATAGGGCTGGAAAGATAGTACAGGGATGAGGCACGTGGCATGTATGTGGCCCCTCCAAAATAAAACCTGTCGAGGTCCTTTTGATGACCTAGACTGTGCTGTTGTTGGGTAGAATATTCTGTGATCTCTGGGTTTATCCTACTTGGTCCTGAGCTTCTTGGAATTGTAGATTTATGTCTTTTATTAAATTTGGGAAGTTGTCACTCATCATTCTCCTTCCCTCTCTCCGGATTTCCACCATGTGTATATTTTGCGTGCAGTGTACTTGATGCACCACTAGATCCTTGGACTCCGTTTACTTCCCTCCTTTTATTTTCTTATCTGCTCTCAGATGCAATAATTTCATCTTGGAATGGAACAGTTCTACAATGGGGAAGGTGTTTGCCTTGCATGTGCCTACCCAGATATGATCCTTGGCATCCATATGGTGCCCCGCCAAGAGTGATTCTGGAGTGCAGAGCCAGAAGTAAGCTCTAGGCACAGCCAGGTTTGGTCCGAAAACAAAAACAACAATAATAATTTTAGTCTCCTCTTTTCAAGGGCTGGAGCGATAGCACAAGGCTGGAATGATAGCACAGTGGTAGGGCATTTGCCTTGCACGTGGCCGACATGGCCAATCCGAATTCAATTCCTTCGCCCCTCTTGGAGAGCCCAGCAAGCTTCCGAGAGTATTTCACCCACATGGCAAAGCCTGGCAAGCTTCCCATGACTTATTCAATATGCCAAACACAGTAACAAGAAGTCTCATAATGGAGACGTTACTGAGCCTGCTCGAGCAAATCAATGAACAGTGAGAAGACAGTGCAGTGCTACAGTGCTTTTCAAGTTTAGTGATTCTTTCTTCCCATATGCTTTTTATTTTTTATTTTTTGGTTTTGGGGTCACACAGAGTGGTGCTCAGGACTTACTCTTGTTTCTGCACTCAGAGTCACTCCTGGAGGTGTTTGGGGGGCCAGATGGGATCCAGAGATCTAACCTGGGTCAGCCTTTGATCCAGGCAAAGCAAGTGCCCTGCCTGCTGTACTATATTTCTGGCCACTCTTCTACTCGCTTTAAATCTGTATAGCGGCTACGGCATTTGACTTACAAATGGCCAAACCTGAATTGGATCCCCGGCATCCCATATAATCCCCTGAGCACTCTCAGGAGTTATTGCTGAGTGCAGAGCCAGAAATAAACCTTGAGCACTGCCAGGTGTGGCCCAAAACAAAACAAAAACAACAAATCTGATTTGGAACCCCTGTGGTATCACTTTTATTTCAGATTTTATACTTCTGAGCTCCAGAATTGTTTCATAAATTCCGTTTCTTTTATATTTTTATACATCAATTTTTTTTGCCTACTCTTATTTTCCTTTAGCTTTGAACAGTTTAGACGGTCTTTTTCTAGCCAGTTTAATCATTTGGGGTTTTCCAGGTATGTTTTCCGAGAATTTTTGAATACCTGAAACCCTAGACATGTTTTCTTTAAATCCACAGAAACCCAACTGCTTCTGGCTGAAATAAAGTCAACCTGCTTTCAAATGCTCCACCTCAGACATCAAAACTGCAGCACCACTCTGATGTTTAGATGAGATCATTATTGCCCTATCTCTAACATCACGAGAAAACGATTACCTTTCCTGTATCCACCTGCCATTGTGCTGGGTTTCAGGGATAGGTGCCCCCAAATTGAGTGCCAAAATTGGATAAAATTGGGGTCAAGAGATAGTCCAGTGGGTAAGGTGCTTGCTTTGCATGTAGCTGATTGGGGTTTAATCCCTGGCATCCCTTATGGTACCCTGAGCCCAGCCAGGACTAAGCACAGAGCTAGGAGTAAGCCCTGAGCACTATGGCTCAAAAAACAAAAAAATAAAAAAAATTAATAAAATTATCTACAATTTGCAAAGTAAGCACTCTCCTGGAAGATACATTTAAACAGACTCCAAGGTCCCCAAACTAGGCATTCCAAGGAATTTCTGCCAGTGCAGGTGGAGAGATGATTCCTATCACTGTTCTGGCATCTTCCCTGATTCCATAGCCCACCACCCCATCTTTTTGTTCTTTTATTTAACTTGCTTTTTATTGGGAACCCTCAAAGTTAGATTGTTCAGTTAATCAGTTCTCTAGCAGCTTCTTCCATTCTAGAATTCACTTGTGTCTCCCCACTAGATTGTGTCTCACAAGTGCAGGAACTGTATATGTCATGCTTTCTGCTATGGCCCCAGTTGCGGTATATTGAGAATATATAAAAAGCACTTTATGGGCCAGAGAGATATAATGGGAATTAAGGCCTTTGCCTTTCATGTGGCCAACTTTGGTTCAACCCCCTGCACCAACTGATCCTCCAGGCATGGCTGGGATGACCCCAAAGGGGAAGTGGGGGGAAGGGCCAGAAAGATAGTATAGTGGATATAGTATAGTGGGTACCCTTGCATGCAGCAGACCCAGATTCAATCCCTAGCACCCTATATGGTCCCCTGAAGTACACTAGTATTGATCCCTGAGCACAGAGGCAGGAGTAAGCCCTGAGCAACGCCAGGTATGGCTAAAAACCAAACCAAAACAAAAAAAGCATCATGAACAATGGGGGGAAAAGACTTAACCAGAAGCACTCCCAACAGAGACACTGATTTCTATAATGATGATGTATAGTATAGTACAGTGCTGCCCAGGCAACAAAAGAGCTGTGATTAATGGCTCTTGTGGTGAGCTGCTACAGTAATCACTACCATATGGGTCCTGCCCTGTATAATTAACACTGTTGCTCTAATAGCAATTCTCTATTCAGGAGAGAAGCTGCTTAGGCCAGGTGTAAACACCAGAGGCTAGGATCCTGCAGGCCCCATCTCTCGAGAAAGGAATTGCTGCCAACCTGTCATTTTATGGCCAATGGGCCTCTCCCAGGACTGTGACATGGAGGGACATGAAGACATGCCCTGTCACTCAGAAATTGCATTGGGTTTCTCTCTCATCTGCCTAGGACCAGGCGCACAAGCCGTGCACAGTGGTCTTTGACCTCACAGACCTTGAGGCCATCACTGAGTCAACAACTGAGATTCTAGACTGCTTTGGCTATGTGGATGTGCTCATCAACAATGCCGGGATCAGCTACCGTGGTGACATCATCGACACCAGCATCGATGTAGACAAGAAAGTCATGGACACAAACTACTTTGGCCCAGTTGCCCTCACAAAAGGTGACCATCTTGCATTTTAAAAAGCGAAGCAAAAACAAACAAATGAAAACATTGATATGATATGTTGACATTCCTTTTATGCACCTGGTTCCTCTCCAGCCAAACATTTACTGTCCTCCTCCTGGATTTGGGTGTTGCTTGATTTTTTCAAGCTTTATCCGTTTTATGGTTTTAAATCAAGATGCTCCCCTGAATAACAGCTTTACTTGCAGAGTATTGCCTCCATTTTTTTTTTCAGAGTGCTTGCAAACCCCTAGAAAATAGGGATAGTTTGGAGCCAGAGAAATAGTTTAGCGGGTAGGGCACTTGCCTTGCTGTGGCCAACCTGGGTTCATTCCCCTCCATTGCATATGGTCCCCCAAGCACCACCAGTAGCGATCCATGAGCACAGAGCCAAGAATAATCCCCGAGTACTGCTAAGTATAGCCCCAAAACAAAACAAAAATTTAATTTAAAAAAAAGAAAAAGGAAATAGGGATAGTTTCATTCGGAAAGAGAGAGAGTACAGGAGTTAAGGTGCTTTTCCTTGCATGCAGCTAACCATGGTTCAGTTCCCAGCACTCCTGATCGCCCAAATACTGCTCAGTGATCTCCGAGCACACAGCCAGGGCTCACCTCTCTCTCCCTGCTCTCCTCCTTGCCTGGTGCAGGAAGCCTCTGAGTTCCCACAAACATGGTTCTCCTCCCTGGGAGTCTCTCCCTGTCACTCCTTGTGCTCTGAGAGAGAATGACTCCCCTCAGTGCATTGCAGGAGCAGAAGAGAAGGCCCCCGCTAAAGCCTCTGCCTCTTTCCCCAGCACTCCTACCCTCCATGATGACACGGCGACAAGGCCACATCGTTGCCATCAGCAGCATCCAGGGAAAAATCAGCATTCCTTTTCGGTCCGCATGTAAGTACTTTGTCTCCCTCTGACAAACGCTTGCATTGTTTCCCCCCCAATTATAAGAACAGCACATACAGAATTCAGACCTTAGAGCAGAATGTGAAAGAACATCATCAGAATGTGTTCTCCTAACAGAATGCCTCTGTTCAGTTCCAGCTCCACCCTTTCCCCTATGTGTGACCTTGAGCAAATGTCCCCATCCCCCTGCACCCCGTCCTCTGTTAAGTGGAGACGGGGAAGCCACTCTCTTGGAGGGCTCCTGGGAAGGTGAGGTTCCCTGTGGGCACTGGGTGGAATGCTGGAGCAGCATGAGGCCTGTGTACCAGACGTGTGTTACCTGCTATTGAGCATTGTCAGTTTCCATGGCAGCCCACACTTATAGCTACTTTATCACTTTGCTACGTGTGCCTCTAAAGAGTTTCCACATAGACCAAACACAGTTTTGTGGCTCTCTTAATTCACTTACCTCAGCAAACAAGTACTCCCTTAATCCTTTGAAGTGATAATACCGTAACACTGTCCTCCCATTGTTTATCAATTTGCTGGAGCGGGCCCAGTAACATCTCTATTTCTTTATTTCTTTTTTTTTTTGGTGGGGGGGGCTTGTTGTTAGTGTGTTTGGCATATTGAATACGGCACGGGTAGCTTGCCAGGCTTTGCTGCGCGGGCGAGATATTCTTGGTAGCTTGTCGGGCTCTCCGAGAGGGGCGGAGGAATCAAACCCAGCTTGGCCAGGCTGGCTGTGCACAAGGCAATCGCCCTACCCTGAGTACTCCAGCACTATGAATAGATGTAATATCATTTGCTTATCCATTTTCCTTAAGGTTTTCTCTTCTTCGGTATTGGGCCATTAGAAGTGATGTGCTAGCCAGAACCTTTCACATAAGTCTGTCTCTGAGCACTCTTGGTGAAAGGGCTTCCTTGGTGCACAATCCCCCAAGTAGAAATATTAGGTAGGAAGGAAACATTAAAATTGCGAAACTGACTTCCAAGTGACACTCCTCCTTCATCGTAGAGAGTAGTAGCACTAACATTCAGCTGTCTGCCATCAGGTTGCAGCAACAAACAAATTGGGCTACACCCAGCAGTCCCCAGGACTGACTCCTGGCTCTACTCGTAGGATTCACTCCTGGTGGGCTCAGGGGACCCTATGGGGTACCAGAGATGAAATCCTGGTGAGGAGTATGCAAGGCAAGCACCTTCCCTACTGTACTGTGTCTCTGGCCCCAGAAGCTAGTCTTGTTCTTAAAATATTGTAAAGCATGGGGCTCAAGTGATAGCACAGTGGGTAGGGTGCTTGCCTTGCATGTAGCCAACCTGGATTTTATCCGTGGTAGCCCAAAGGGTCCCTGAGGACTGCCAGGGATGATTCCTGAGTCTGTGTGTGAGGACTTTGTCTCCCAGAGCCAGAAGTAACCCCTGAGCATTGCTGGGTGTGGTGCAAAAACAATGAACCAAAACAAAAATATTGCAAAGGTAATTTTTCAGGCTTCCACAGTAATTCAACTCCTGGCTCTTCCTCTGGAAAGAAGGACGGTCTAGCAGCAGCCTCACCTGCTCTCCCACCTCCTCGCTCTGGGTCCCCCTCCCCGCTGCAGGCTTCAGACATGGCAGAGAAGGGAGTGGAGTGGAGCCCGCACTGTGGAAGGACAACAAACCAGCATCCAGATGATAGGGCATAGCCAGCTAACTGAATTGGAACGGAACAGAAACCTACTTGGGCAAGTGGCTTTAGATCATCAGACCCTCTCTTTTCATGTTTGTGAAATGAGATTTTTTTTTATTTTCTTTTTGCTTTTTGGGTCACACCCAGCAATGCACTGGGGTTACTCCTGGCTCTGCACTCAGGAATTACTCCTGGCGGTGCTCAGGGGACCATATGGGATGCTGGGAATCGACCTCAGGTCTGCTGCGTGCAAGGCAAACGCCCTACTATTGCTCCATCCCCGTGAAATGAGACTTAACAATCATCATCCATGTTCACAAAACTGCCTTAAGAATGAAATGCAAAAACTGGAGATGATAAATCTTTTACATGGGGACTGGAAAGACAGTGCAGCATGTAAGGCGCTTCCCTTGCATGTGGCTGACCCGGGTTCAATTTCTAGCACCACATATGGTTCCCTGAGCCCCTCCAGGGGTGATCCCTAAGCACAAGAGCCCGGAGATAGCTATGAGTACTGCTGGTGTGAAGAAGAAAGGAAGAGGGGAGGGCCTTTATAAAGTGTTGTTTAGAGTATAGCTCTAAACACTTTTAGAATAACATTGGTATATCCTTTCTCCCTTGCCACAGGGAGCTAGGTTTAAGCACTCTGGAGACACTCCCATTCCTTTGTTTATCTGTAACCTCTTCTCTGTGCTCTCCTCCCCAACCAGTTAATCACCTTTTTTTCTCTAATCAGATTCTGTTAACTTGTAAGGTCAGATCCTTCTAAGGACACTGGACTTGTATTGCGAGTTAAATATTGCTTTTACCCATCTTTTGCATAGTTTACTTTAAAGCAATGTCCTTTTTGTATGGACACAGGAAGACAGTTAATATTATGCTTTTGTAACTTGGGAGTTAATTGACTCTGAATAATATTCACTCCTGGACATCTGCTTTCTTGACTTAAGCCTCAGTTACCCTTAGTTCCTAGCACCCCAAAAGCAGGGTCCCGACAAGGGACTGAATGGAACTAAGGAAAGCTGTGAACTATCCTAGCATCAGAATGGGCCAGGCCAAGGCTCCATACTATAAGAGCATGGTCATGGACAAACTCTGTCAGGACCCGAAAGAGGTAAATGAGTAAGGAACCTGCTGGGGTTAGGAAGACTAACCTGGCCTGAGGACTGTGATCTGGAATATATGGTAAGATGTCCAGGAAGAACCAAATTTTAAGCTCAATGTATCTCTTACTGTGTTCATACAAAGTGAGATTGCTAGAAATACTAGAAGTAAATTTAGTACAACTATTTAAGTGGATTACTAGCTGGGGAAAGAAGAAAGCAACACACTCTGAATGGAATCCAGCATTTGAGCAGATATAGTAATCTGGAGTAATCTCTTTAGATGAAATTTTGTCCTTGAGTTAATCTCGGAGTTAATCTCCCAGAGAAGTGGCCTTACCTCTCTTTGTTGATTTGTTAATGTTTAATCCCACCTTTGTATCAACACTCTACATGATTTCTATATAAACTAGGCTGTAAGAATGGGCTGGGGGATCAGAGAATGGAGATGGGAATGGAATAAACTGCAACTGACACCAGCCAACCTGGCCCTCCTTTCCACCTCCGTCTTCCCTTCACCATTGACCTCCCTGGGGTCAGTCAGGGAAGCAGCGAGAGAGAGCCACCCAGGCCTTTCGTACCTTTCGTAATTTTTTTTAATATGCAGTGTTGTATTCATATTTGTTTTTATAGTTGCTGTTTCCCTGTTTGCCAGCTATTTCAACTCCTTTTTAAACTTGGGGGCACACCAAGCAGTGTTCAGTGCTTACTTCTGGCAGGCTTGGGGGACCTTAGAGGGTGCCTGGTCTGCTGCTTGTAGAGTAAATGTCCTGCCCTCTTTATTACTACTCTAGCCCCTCTGTTTCAACTCTTGACTATAAATACTTCAATGTATTTCCTAAGAACAGGTCATGATACAAGTCTAAATCACAAAATTAATCTTGCTATCATATGTGGTCTTAGAAAGTCAGTTTTTGTTTGGTTTTGGTTTTTGAGTAACACCCAGCGATGCTCAGGTGTTACTCCCAACTCTGCATTCAGTATTATTCCTGGCGGTGCTTAGGGGACCATATGGAATGCTGGGAATCAGAGAGAGGGAGGGTGGGAGGGAGTGAGGGCAGAGAGAGGAGAGAATGTGAATGACTATGGGCTTGTTCCAAAACACGTTCCACACCATCTCACTCATGTCCCTTACTCCCCCTTTGTAGATGCAGCCTCCAAGCATGCAACCCAGGCATTCTTTGACTGTCTGCGCGCAGAGATGGAGCAGTATGGGATCGAGGTGACTGTGATCAGCCCCGGCTACATCCACACCAACCTCTCTCTCAACGCCATCACCTCCAATGGGTCAAGATACGGAGGTGAGGTCAGGGTTCTCGTCGGGTAGAGCTCTCAGTCACCGAGGTTGAGCCCTGTGCTCTTGCCTGAGTGATTGTTTGGGCTCTTCTCATTTGGAATCCAATTTTTAAAACAAAAAATCATGAATGTTAGAGGCTTCAGCTGCGGCCATTTTCCTAACCAGGAGCATCACTATGGCAGCTCTTAAGGGGGCCCCAAAGATTGGCTTGGGGACTTAACTTTCCAAGTCCCCAAATCAGAATGCCACCAGACTAACCTGGCTTTAGTCAATCAGCCTCGTGAAAAACATGGGTTCCATGGCCTAAGAGGCTCCCTGCCCAGAGTATGTATAAGAAATAACCAGTTCCACTGTCCTCTGAGTAAATGGCCCTGTCTTATGGGCACACCAGCTGGTATCAGCCAGAGCCAGCACGCAGCTGACCTGCAGTCAGCCTCGTGGGCTGAAGGCCTGGCCCAGCTTGTGCTCAGGCCACAGAGACAAGACCTACCAGTTGACGCTGGCATGAACGGCCCTGGGTTATGGTTCAGGTTTCCCAAGCTCAGCAAACCTTGCCCACGCTGGAGCATTATCCAACATGTCCTGCGTTTGTTGTGGGGGATGTGTGTGTGTGTGTGGCACGTGAGGACTTCATGAAAGGTGCCTGTGCTCTATGGCTGAGCTGCACGCCTGTCCCAACCAGCCTCTCAATTGTGACATCTTGGGCCTGTGCTGAGCTGCCCTCCAGGGACCTCCTGGGCATACACCTCCTGCAGCCTGGCAGCCAAGACTGTCCAGGCTCTGGCAAACATGGAGCCATCTCTCAGCACCCCATCAGAGATGGAGGCAGGAACCTGGCATGTCCACACCTATTTTTAAAGAAACAACCTAGACTCCTGTTCAAAAAACCACAAAGAACTGATGGGTGGGGGGTGCAGGGAGCTATATAGCACTGCACTTGCCTTGCATGTAGCCAACCCAGGTTCAATCCCTGGCTTCGCGTATGGTCCCCCAAACCCTGTCAGGAGTGATCCTTGAGCGCAGAGCCAGGAGTAAGCTCTGAGCATCACTAGGTGTAGCCCAGAAACCAAGCAAAAACAAAACAAAACAAAAAATTGATGGGAAGCTCAGGCTGCTTGGATGACATACAAGTTTTTTAATGGCCCCTGCTCATGACTGCCAACTGGTCCTGTCATCAGCTGAACTGTCAGATTACTAGGAAAGAACCATCAGTTGCTAAACTCTCCACCAGTCTTTTCTGGAATGTGAAACAAACCGAGAACTTCTTCCAGTTCCATATCATCAGTACACGCCATCTGGAAGTTCAACTTTTACTCTCACCTCTTCACTATCCCTTCGCAAGGCCCTCCTAGTCCTTATGGGGTCATGGTCTTCTCCCACCCCTAATCTGGCCGCCCTATATATAAGAACAGCCTGTCACTGCCTGTCCCAGTGGGCAGAATTCCGCTGGGCAGGAAGCACTTCCAGGGCTCACGCTGCAGTCTTTAAGAACAGGTTGGCTTGGGCTCTGAGCATTGCCATGGACACGGTGTCCCCCAGTCCCTGAACCACCCCTAACTAATAGAATCAGGGATGATGCATACTCCCTGCCCAGCCATGGTCCACCGCCGCCACCCTCCTCAGCCTCCATATTCATGTTTCCTTTGTTTATTTTAGTGATGGACAAGAACACAGCTGAAGGCCGAAGCCCCAAGGAGGTGGCCCAAGATGTCCTCACTGCTGTGGGCGAGAAAAAGAAAGACGTTGTCCTGGCCACTCTGGTGCCTTCTCTGGCTATTTATCTTCGAACTCTGGCTCCGGGGATCTTCTTCAATCTCATGGCCTCACGGGCCCGCAAGGAGCAGAAATCCAAGGACGCCTAGTGCTAACAGCCATTGGGGAAGCAACACCTCCCTGTTGTAGCCAAAGGAATGAGGGACAGTTGTATGTGCTGACACTTGACAGAAAATCTGTCTCGGGGTGGGGAAAAGGATGGATATGTGTGACCTGCAGCTCTGCAGACAGGCCCCTGTGGGTACCGGCACTAAAAAGGTAACCAGCCTCTCAGCCTCTTCCTAGGGCTAAGGGCAACAATGAAAGAGTAACTGTTGAACTGGACTCTAAGGGCTTTAAGATAATGAAATAAATTCATGTAGCAGTAAGAGTCATAATCCTCAACAATTAGTAGAACCATGCTTGAATTCCAGGCTTTGCCCAGAAATTTCTTCTCTTGAAATCAGAATCATTTTAACTTCACTTGGCCCACTTGTTCTCATACCTGCTTTATCCAAGATTATTCACCTTACTGTTTCTATGGAGTCACTCAAAGGACTCTAAGAAATCATTATTCATATCCATCTCCTGGGTCTCACTCAGAACAAATGGGTCAGCATGGTGGGGCCTGAAAGATAGTACATTAGATAAGGCACTTGCCTTGCATGCAGCCAACCCCTACTAGGTTTGATCCCTAGTACCTCATATGGCCCCCCTCAGCTCAACCAGGAGTGACCCAAGTGCAGAACCAGGATTAAGCTCCAAACATAGGCATGTGTGCCCCCCCCAACCCCTCAGCAGGCTAATATGGTATTGGTTATATGACACAAGTGACTCCAGTCTTGGGGCCAGAGCAATAGTACAGTGGGTAGGGTATTTGCCTTGCATGCAGCCAACCTGAGTTCTATCCCCAGTTCTATCCCATATGGACTCCTGAACACCACCAGGAGTCATTCCTGAGCATAATTAGGAGTACCCCTGAGTATCTTCAGGAGGGGACAAACAGTCCTCCCGTTGTTCATCCATTTGCTCGAGCAGTCCCAGTAACGTCTCCATTTTGAGACTTGTTACTGTGTTTGGCATATTGAATACGTCACGGGGAGCTCACCAAGCTTTGCCGTGATCAGGTGGGGACCCAAAAAAAAAAAAAACTTACAAGTGACTCCCCAGGTTCCCTGCCAACTCTTACCCTGTAGGATACTCTAAGCAGGTGAACTTACTGAAGAGACAGCAGCCAACAAGAGGAGACTCCTACAAGCACCACATGTCTAGGAAGAGGCCAATTCTAGTTAGGTGGGGAGTAGTGCTAAGGCCGTGTCAGCTCCAGTGAGGGAACGTCCTTGCTTTAAATGTGACAGTTTGGAGCACAGCCGGGAAGGATGTCTGCTTCCACCTTTCAGATTCATTCAGATACAGAGTGGAGGTTCCCTGAGGTCAGCCTTGCTGACTGGCTCCTCCTGTAGGTCCTACTGTCCAGGTATTGACCCTTCCTGTCAATTAACTAAACTGGGGAATGCTAATTCAGCATCTGTATCAAAAGGGCATCACTGTTATTGATGTTATTTTGGAAGTCAGTGACTTTGGTTGGGACCCACCAAGTTCTGAGTCACAGGTGTCGGCTGTGGCATAGGTAGGTAGAGCCTTGTGGTTCATGACATAGGATGGTCACCCAGGGTTGCAGAACCTGGATCCTCCCCACATATGCAAGGCCCTGATGCGCTGGATTAAAACACAGAATCAGTCTAGCTGTCTGTTAAGAACTGTCTGAGGCCCAGCTGCTGTGGTTTTAATGGTGCACTCACACCACACACGTTTTCTTGGCACCAAAGCATGGGACTAAAGGCTGTCATTTAGTGTTCGTGTACACACAAAACCTTGAGTCTGTTGGGTGTTTGGGAACAAGGCTCCCAAGCCTTGGAGGGAGGCATCCCAGCAGGGAACACGCTGGGAATTAAATTCCTTTGTGGTATTTCTGTTCCTTTTTCTCCTCTGTCCTCAAATATGTTTTCCCTTTATAGCACAGCGGTAGGGCGTTTGCCTTGCATGCAGCCAACATGGCCGACTCGAGTTCGATTCCTCCGCCCCTCTCGGAGAGCCCGGCAGCTACCCAGAGTATCTCGCCCGCACGGCAGAGCCTGGCAAGCTCCTCATGACGTTTTCGATATGCCAAACACAGTAACAACAAAGTCTCCAATGGAGACGTTACTGGGCCCGCTCGAACAAATCGACGAACAACGGGAGGGCCTTTACCTTTCACCTTACCTTTTCATCCTTGCATTCCACTAGGGAAGCTGGAAACTGATGACTGTGCCTGGATTTTGCCTTTAGATAAAGTTGAGAGACACTTTTCACCTGACTCTTCCAGCCTCAGTATTCTCTGATGCTAGAGCAGCAGGAACAGCCTGTTGTGCTCCATGGCAAAATCAGCTGAAACACAGAACTAGCGTGTTTCCACGGTACAGCACCGCACCTCTGTGCACTCAGCAGCACGGGCAACTCGCACAGGCACCCCTAGGCAGAACTTACCTGTCCCATCTCCACCAGGGACCCACAACTGCTGACCCAGATGAGAATGCTTTGGAGGGGGGCGCAGAGTTAGCATACTGGACAAGATGCTGCTTTGCACCCTAAGACCTGGGTTTGATCACCGGCATCCCATATGGTTCCCTGAGCACTGCCAAGGGTGAATCCCGAGTGCAGAGTCCCTGTCAGGAGCAAGCCCTAAGCACCACTGGGTGTGGCCAGTAAAATAAAAGAATCCTTTAGAGGGAACTGACAAGCTACCAACTACGAATTGACTGAGTATGTCCTTTGACATAAAGCTCCGTTGTGGAACTGACCCTCGGAAAATTGGGCTGGGGCAGGCAGTTAATTACATGACCCTCTCCCTGAAGCCACACCCAGGGTTTACATAAATGGGCTTTGCAGAGGGGAGTCCAATTAACATGGTCCCTGAGTCCTCTGGTGGGATACGGTGTTTCTTCAGGGTCACAGTGGCAGGTTACAGATGAGTATAACCCACTTGCCAGCAATGTCTAAGGGAAGGTGGCAGAAATAGATAAGCCACTGCCAACTGAAAGGCCACCCAGACTGGAGCTGGGAACTGTCTATTCTTCTCAGCCGTCTAGGCACGGTGCTCACAGACCTGGCATACAGAAGCCCTGCTCTGAGGCCCAAGGCTCCATCACATCCTGTGTCTCTGGCCACAGGACCTGGGCTGGTCCTTCTCACAAGAGTCCTTCTGTTCACAGTAGCGAGCCAGCTGCTTGGCCCTGGTTTCTACTTCAGATGAGCACGTCTCAGCTGATCTGAGAGCCCGTTTGTCTGCACCCAGTCACCACCCCCCTGAAATCTGGCGTGCAGGCCGAGTACAGCTCCCTTACCCAATCTGGACTGTTGATTACAAAAATACCTACCATTCTTCCCCTGGCTCGAGACAGCAGTCAGATGCCTGAGGGCCTGTGGGCACGGCCGCTGCTGCAAGGTCTGTCTGGGCTCACGATCAGCACACCCCTGTTCCAGATGGCCAGACTGTCATGTAAATAGTGGTGTGTACCCAAGGCCATTTGCCACCCAGCGCTCAAATGAGTGATTAGTCTAGGACCTTGGGACTTAATCCATTATTTCTCAAACTTGTAAGCCAGTTACCTCTCAGGTCTTAAGTCACTCCAGATCTTCCCCTTTGGCTAGATGATGCCTAACCATCCCTGATCCCTTCCCATACAGCTCTACTCCCTCTGGGACTAATCTTCCCAGTGGAGAAGCCCTTCAAGAAAGGGGAAATTAGAGCTGTTCCTGAGATGGGATTGAAGAAAGTGTTCCATTGCTCTTTGGTTCAGGGTTCAGGGAGGGTGCGGCTGGAGGCCAAACCTCTGTGGAGGGGTCATTTCCCATTTCTCCAGCACCCAAGGGACGACGACCAGGTGCCCTTTGGGGAGAGGCAGGTAGACTCAGTTCCTGAGGGGTAGGGGCATGGGAGGTGCGGCAGAGGGGACCTTTCCTCAGCCCGAGACCCTTAAGTGCTTAGTAAAGAGGAAGTGGGGCTGGAGCAATAGCACAGTGGGTAGGGCGTTTGCCTTGCATGCAGCCGGCCCGGGTTTGATTCCCAGCATCCCATATGGTCCCCTGAGCATTGCCAGGAGTGATTCCTGAGTGCAGAGCCAGGAGGAACCCCTGTGCATTGCCGGGTGTGACCCAAAAAGCAAAAAAAGAGGAGGAAGGGTTTGTTTTCTCTTTCAGCAAATCAGAATCTCCAAAGAGAGATCCTCAGTGCCAGTTCTCCCCCATGAACCGGGTGGGTCTGTCCTCTTTCCCCAAATCACTGAGTGGGGCAGACCTTGCTGATAAGGCCAAGGACAAATGCAATGCCCAGGAATGGGCCTGCCGTGGGCCCACCTGTGCTGGCAGGACTGTCATGGTGGCTGGGGAGGCAAGACTGAAGACACCAGGTGTTGAAATTCTCATAATTTTAATGGTCAATAGCTTCTGGTTGGCTCTGAATGGTACAGTTAAACAATATACTTAAAAGCCCCCCTCCCAAGCACATTCACACCCCCTCAGTAGCGCTGCTTCCATCAAAGTCCCGCTGCCAGGTCAGACTTCCACAGCCTCAGATCCTGTGGGTCAGAAACCCACATCTTAGTGTAATGAGTCGGAAAAACCCTTGGTACACTTGTGATCTGTTACTTTTTTTGTTTTGTTTTGTATTTTTTAAAGAACAAGTATTAAACCAAACAGCTTCCCAGGCTCCGATGGCTCTCGGAGCTAAACTGTTTACTGTGGCAATCTGAATACTCGGCATCTCTTGTGGGCTGGGTTGTTTGCTTCTCTCCCGGTCCGTCGGTCCTACTGAAATCATACGGAGTAGAGTTCGTAGATCTTCTTTACACAGTACACCAGGGCGGCCAGTGCTATCGTGTTGTGCAGTCTCTTTCTGTGCAAGTCGTCCTTCCGGACCAGCACCACCGGGGTGGAGGAAGTGAGTGTGTGCAGGGGCAGGCGGGACAGTTTATAGGCATCATACTCCACCTGGTACTTGCAGCAAGGGTCAAACTGCCACGAGATGCCGTAGAGGGTGCAGCAGGCTAGGCTCAGCACACCAGCGGGCAGGGAGATGTAGTGGGAGTAATCTAAGGGCAGTGCCAACGGGGTAAAGAGGCAGGCCGTGCCCGCCAGCACGGTGGTCTTGTGCAGGCAGTTGCCCACAGTGATCCAGCGGGCCGTCTCGTCACCGATGCGGGTGGGCTCGATGACGATGTACTTGTACTGGGCTTCCAGGGCCTGCTCCAGCTCATACTCAAACTGGTCCTGGGCATTTTCCCCATTGTAGATCTCGTGCACAATGTAACAGTCTGTGGCCGACAAGCTCACCCTAGTTCGGGGTGGGAGGGGCATCGGGAGTGGGGGGGTGGAAAAAGCACAGTTAGTTAGGCTAAGGCAGTTTCCCTTTCTCTGCTGAGCTGCTGAGGGGAACCTCGCTTTAGAGTTT